TGTAATAGCAGCAGCATGCATAGCAAATTCATATGCAATGTTAGAAATAATATTAGCAGCAGGAAGTAAAATTATTGTTGCTAATATAGCAGCGTTAGCAGAAAGTACATTTAGTTGTTTGAAATTTCAGTGATGACGCATGGGGTAAGTAACTCTTTAAAATGAAATAGGCATTGTATTTCTTTGCTTATTTAACAGGGCTTACAGTAGATTTTGTGAACTCTTCAAAGTGAAATAGGCATTATTTTATTGCGTTTGCTTGTTAATAAAGACGCTTATAGCAATTCTAAGTACTTTCTTGGTGTTTGGCTTAGTGTTATGTTAGAATCATTATTATACTCATACCTTTTGTTCTTTTAATATTTTGAATTGTTTTTAGCTTTATTTTTTTGTTTTCATTTGTAATGTTTAGTTTTGAAATGTTGTTGTATGCATTTGTCATTTTTATTTAATTTCATTTATTTTCTTAAATGTGTATATATAATATTTATAGAGTTTTAGCTTTTAGTTTTAGTTACTTTTTCTTATTTGTAAGTTGCTTTGGATAAAAGCGTCTGCTAAATGACTAAAAGTAAAACTAAAGTAAAGTTGCATGGAATTTTAGTGATAACTCATGGAGGGTAAATTAACTCTTTAAAGTGCAATATACGTATTTATTACTTATTCAACAGGGCTTACAGCAGGTTTCGTGCAGCAGTAGATTACGCTTCGTAAATTCTGATTAAATATTACAACCGCAACAGCTCGCACAGTAAATTCCTATTACAACATTGTGAATATCATTAACAGCAACCGCATGTACTTCAACTCTGTATTGAAATGCTAGTGAATATTATCAACAGCAGCAGTAGCAGAAGTTTTGTTGTGTTGGCCATATCGCACTGCATACATTGCGCACAGCTACCTATCGTAACAGGTCTACTGGCTTTGTCATGTTGTGCCGCTCGAGTCTGGCATAGACACCATGTTAGAGTAAAATAGGCATTCGCCTAGCTACTTATATGCCTAATTAATGGAGCTCTCAGCAGTTCAGTCTCTTGTGCAGTAGCAGCAGCTTGCATAGGCATTCGGTCATAGCGATTTTTCTCAGAAGCAGCATGCACAGCATTTCTATGTTGTGAATTTTAATTTGGACACAATTAATATAAAAGCAGACTACTGCATTTAAATAAAGTCACTGTAGTGTCTTGCTCAAGACCATCTTGGAACGAGCCATGCATTTAGCAATGATGTGTTCATACAATGCAAACATTATTGTTTTTTATATGCAATATAAATATTTTAAATTATCAAAATAAATGAGAAGCTGCTTTTGAGGCAGAATTAGTCCTTGGCATATGACACCACAACTACAGGGTGTACAGTGATTTATTCTTCGCCAAATAATTTGTTAGCTTATTAATAGTTAAAGCTAAGTATTTCCATTGCAGTAACGTTGATTAATGCTAATGGGAAAAAAAAAATTACAATTTGTTACTTGAATGACAAATTTAAAACTATTTGCTCAGGCCGCCCGAACCTGAGTCATTTATCAGCCTACAGTGTGATTCCTGTTTGTTAACGACACACATAGTGCACGTTTCTACCTAGGTAAGTTTGAGCTATTGGCTCAGACATCCAGGTGGGTGCTGGGGGTTACTTCATCTATCAGCCTACAGTGTGATTCCTGTTTGTTAATGATACACATAGTGCGCATTTCTACCTAGGTAAGTTTGAGTTATTGGCTCAGACACACATGGTTATTTAGGTCATTAGTTAAATAAACCTAAGGGTACAGCACCCAGGTTCACATTGTTAAGCCACTAGTTAATTTATCTGGGCTCCATTAGCCCAGAAACACATTTAACTCAGGTCACTAGTTTAAGCTATCTGGTCAACCGATCAGGTACACACAGCAATAGTTCACTAGCATTCGGCAAAGCCGGCCCAGGCTCACATAGATAGCAAACACATGGTCTCACTGCTCTCCGGAGCAGCAGCAGTACTGCTATATATTGTCTTGGCAATAGATCTGCTTGTTCTGGAGGGTTTATGTTTTATATGTCTTCTGCCTTATAGGGATTATTTTAAGCATATTATTGTATAGCAGCAGCATACATATTTAATTGTTTTGTTTTGTTCTTCCAGCTTTGTTGGGGGGTTATTTCATATGCTATTTATGCAGCAGCAGTATGTCTTAAATACTCACGGCACCGTATCGCCATATGCATTGGCAGTAGCAAGTTCCTGTACTTGCTTCCAGCAGCAGCAGCAATAATCTACAACTACAGCAATAACCAACAGCAGCAGCAATTCAGCAGCAGCGTAGCAGATCTATTCCAGCAAGACCAAATACATTAACATTGTCATATCTATCACCATGCTAAAATCTTACGAGAGTTGTCATGATTGAATTACACTTTTGTACATTTAAGTGTAATTATACAGCAAATATGTATACAGCTAAATAAACTTTATGAAAAGTACAGTCGCTTTAAACTTATCAAATACCTTTACCTTAATTTACAATAAGTTGTAAGTTGTAAGAAATAGCATATATTTTAGCATACTTTTAAAAAGAGTACTTATGGAAATAATATATTTTAAAATACAATTTGTTCCATATGAAACAAATGGTGGGATGGTGGGAAACTCCATTTGAAAAGACTCACATGCTCATGGAATACCATGCATCTTCACACACAAGCTCTGGGAACTCCCGAATTTATGTCACAGATGTACATCTGATTAAGACTGAGGGCATGACCAGCATCTGTCTCCGTGATATCGACAGCTACAATCTTTATGTAAAACAGTGTCATCTAGTGGTCATAATAACATACTGCATACAAATAAATTCAACACTGCTCAAACTCCAACCTCACCTCATGTTCAGAATTATGAAACTGTATAAGGCACTCATGAATGCTTGATTCTAATTGGCTGCAGAGGTTCTAAGGGGTCTATATCTGAATAAATAAAATAAAATAAAATTAAAATTATAACATAAAATATACAAATGAAAATGTATTCCAAATAATAATAATACAACTATTATAGTTTTTTAAAAATACTAAAATGTATATTTGTCCATATTGTCTAAATTTTACACATCCCTTTGAATCCATGCAAATAAAAATGGTTCACCATTGAAGGGGTTGGTTCACCCTCCGCCCATGCATATATGCACACAAAAACTTGTCAGTGCAGCTCTATGACTTTATCATTAAAATAGTTTAACATCTGAAAAGCTGCATGCATTTCCTTTCAACCCACATAAACAGTATAAAAGTAGCCCAATTCCGCAGGAAAACACCAGACTTGGCAAAACTGTTTGCACTTGACCATTGTCTGCTTACATGAGTTATTTCCTGGGTTTGGCCCAAGTGTTCAAGTGGGCGTTGTAGATAACTTGACTACTTAAATTTGTAAGGGAATTAATCGTCGGTAAGGTGATACAATGCTAAATCGTCAATATGGAGGATCCTTAGGGACATTGATCCATAAAGTTTGGTTGGGCAGGATAATGCGCGTGGCAGTGTCGTGTTGATCGTAGGTGAGGGTAGCCGAACGCTCTGGGGTGTCGACTAGCCATCGGTTTCAACGATTTACGAGAAAAAAAAATAAAATACCGTAAGATGAATCCCACCTGTCGCAAAAAGTCAGTGACTTCTCTTATAAAACTGTATTTTTTCGGTGTAAACTCTAAAAAGAGTTCAATCCAAAAGTATGTTGCCGTTTCCTCTAAAAAGCTGTTTATTCAGTGTAGTGAAGCCACTCCTCTATTG